CTGCTCTTTTGAGTATCCTTCAGAGTTCTGACTGTATTCCTTTGTCTTTGGCCATATTTATCAGCTTGATATAGACCCATGAAATTTCAAATATTTGTTCACCCCATGAAGATCGCCTCCAGTATCCCCTTCACATTCTGTGGCTGCTTATTTTTACATGTTGCCTTTCTTCCTGTGTTAGTTGTCCTTCCCCACTTAAAAAAAAAATTAATCTATGATCACTTTTTCATTTTTTTCTTGCAGGTTGTCTTAACCAAGCCTCCTTTGTCAATAAAGTCTGTTATACTACCTTTCCCCAAATACTGTCTTTGAAAGTTTCTTCCATTTCTTCCAACCAAAAATAAATAAATACAGTTTTCTAAAAAAGCTTTGGGTTTAATTTCCACTCTACTGTTGTATTTTATATCTAGATGAATTTGACAGTCTGCCCCTAGGACATGAACTCGTATTTTCTCTCTTGAATAATACTGAATATTCTCTCTGCTCAGTAATGGTAACTCTTAAAAGTATAATAAAAGACCACTTGGGAAAAGTCCATTTTCTTAATCAGCAGATCACATTTTATGATAACATTCTGAATTTAATATTTAGCATTTATCATGTCCTCACACTCTCAGAAGTACTAGGCATTTCAATAGAAGTGGTCCCTGTTGTCAAAGAGCTTCCATCATAAAAGGTTTTGACTTACAAAATAAATATAGACTGAGAAACCAGTTTTCAACACTTAGCCACCCTTTTTTGTAGGACCTTTGATTCAAAGAAATTCAAATACTTTAGCAAGGTGTGATAAATACAGTGGGGTAGAAAATGAGATCAGAGGTTTGTATGATTTCTTTTTCCTTAGGGTATAGTTTCATTGCATACGAATAAAATCCTGGGGTGCCTGTATACAATTGCCAGAGATTAAAAGGAGCACAGGAATCTCTGAGAAATGGTGGGCATTGAGAGACAATAAAGTAATTAGGGCTTCCCTGGTGGCGCAGTGGTTAAGAATCCGCCTGCCAATGCAGGGGACGTGGGTTCGAGCCCTGGTCCGGGAAGATCCCAATGCTGTGGAGCAGCTAAGCCTGCGAGCCACAACTACTGAGCCAATGTGCCACAACTGCTGAAGCCCACACGCCTAGAGCCTGTGCTCTGCAACTAGAGAAACCACCACAACGAGAAGCCCACACACTGCAACAAAGAGTTAGCTCCCACTCGCTGCAACTAGAGAAAGCTCGCACACAGCAGCAAAGACCCAACGCAGCCAAAAATAAATAAATAAATAAATATTTAAAAAACAAACAAAAAAACCCACCAGAGATATAAAGTAATTAAGAGTGTGGCCTCTGAAGTCAGACTTAGTTTCAAATCCCAGGTCGCCTCACCAGCTGTGTGACCTTGGGCAAGTTGCTTAACCTCCCTGACATTTGATTTCTTCATCTGCCAAATGAATAGAGTGATTCTTACCTCATTAAAGGACGTTGACGTTGAAACTATTAAATTGTAATTATTGACCAGATTTTTTTTTTTTTTTTTTGCTGAGCTGTGCGGTTTGCGTGATCTTAGTTCCCCCACTAGGGGTTGAACTCAGGCCCCCAGCAGTGGAAGTGTCGGGTCCTAACCACTGGGCCGCCAGAGAAATTCCCTATTAACCAGATTAGAACCTCTTCATTCAAAATCTGTTTGCCTGCAATATGTTTATAGAATAATATTGTTCAGAGAAGTGTATCTTGAAGCCCAAATTATTTCATAATCTGTCTTGTTTGCCCTTTTCTTTATGTTGATATATCATGTTTCTTGTTCCTATTAGTCCCTTTTAAAAAAAAACTATTATTTTAGCTTCTCTGTTGCAGATTACCCTTTTTGTATCAACACAGAAGTCAGAGCCAGCTACCTTCCTGATAGGAAGTTTTCTCAACTAATTTTCAAGGTGTATAATAGGAAGAGGGCAGGAGAGAAGTGCTCCTAGAGACACTGAACAATTAATTATTTTGTAATGGAGCTATAGAGGGAGGAGTGGATGACTGGCCCAGAGAAAACATGATTTCTCTGGTGCCAGGATTACACTCAGAGGCATTTCTGCCTATCTCCACTTTGCAAGGCACAGTGCCAATGAGAACAGCAGTTAGTACACCCATAGTGGGGTTTACTAGCTTGCACACCATGTTTGGTGGGTTCTTAACTTCAGGATGAGGAATTAAATTTTTTACCCAGTAGGAAGTGATTGCCATTTACTGATTTTTTTTTGTAGCAAAGATCTAGCTTGGGATATGAGTATTCCAGAGATGTTCTGTCGTAAGGAAGGAGATGCTAACAAATGTTATGAGTATTCCAGAGATGTTCTGTTATAAGGAAGGAGATGCTAACAAATGTTGGTCACTGGAATCAAGGAAAGGCAATAAAATCCATGTATGTATGTACATAGCCAGGAACACACCTGTGAAAGTCAATTTTGTGCCTTAGACTGGACAGCACAGTGCTCTTAGGCACTTCGTTTTTTAATCTGCTTTCATAATTGCTGCTGGACACTCCTGTGGTCCCTTTGTTTTCTGTCGAAATTGCTCCTTTTAAAGCATAGCTACACTGATCACCAGCAGCCTGGGTGCCTGAGCCGCCAACACACCTTACCCCGTATAACTGGAGACTAGAAAAAGTGATCTCTGTGACAGAGCCGTTCCTGCTGCCCACAATGCTAGGCTCCACTGACACTGGCACAGCTTTACTCAGTGAAAAAAAGTCTTTGGGGCATGTGCCTAGTTCAAAGATGGTAGTTATCATCACTAATAAAATTTTCAAAAGATAAAGGCCAATGAATCTGTCTATACAGTGGTCTGATAGTCAATAGATGAATTCTGACTGTGTGCATTCCATTTGTCTATTGACATAATATTCCTGAAGGCCTGACACTCTGATGTTCTGTACTAGAAATCATCATGTTTTACCCAAAAGCAAATCAATGTTGGCAGAGTTCCTTTGAGCCCAGAAAGTTCCTCCTTGACATGGACTCTTGAAATTGAGCTTAACTTCACACCTTTCCAGGCTAGTTATGGAGATTATATGGAATGGTAACTGTGAAAACACTTTGAAGAAATAGGAAGTTCCTTGTAAATGTATAATATTATGATTTTTATTGGGAAATATTTGTTGTTTTTTAGGGGACAGTATTTATTCAAAAACAAACCTCCTGATGGGAATGCTCCTCCCAACTCTTTTTATAGAGCACTTTATCCTAAAATCATACAAGATATTGAGGTAAGAATCTATGTATATTTGGGTATTTGCCAAATACTAGAGAATCATCAACATTCTTCAGTAACAGCATTGTTACAGCAAACCCATTAGGGTTTATTGTGTGGGTTAAAAATCAATTTCTTTACAAGTGAGTAGGATAGGTAAAATATAGTAAATTCCCAGGCAAAAAAAATTTAAAGCTTTTAAAAACTGTTTACTGATAGATAAATAGATGAGAGAATACGATAACAGCAGTGAAACTGCTAAAGTTGCACTTATAAGCCATTATTCAAATATATTCTGAATTGAGCCTCTGTGGAAGTTCACTGGTAGAAATGGCCACCACAAATGAAAGATGAGCACTGAGTAGGTAACCTCATGTGGTTCATAGCTTGCCCTCTGTTGGTGAACAGTCTCTTTCTAGCAGGTTTATTATTTAGTTCAACCAGTTATATACAGGAGAGTTCTAGGAAATAAATCTATAATTACTTTGCACATGGAAAAATGTTTTACAGCGTTAAATAGTGGCTTTTTAAAAAAAAATGCCTTAAGTTTTATATACCCAGTAGAGTAAAGCATTGAGCATTTGTCATTGGTTACCATGAAAGTCAGATAAGAGCTTAGTTCTAGTCCTCTCCTAATTATTGCTTCTTTACCATTCCTTCTTCTCAGACAATAGAATCTAATTGGAGATGTGGAAGACATAGCTTACAGAGAATCCACTGCCGAAGTGAAACAAGCAAAGGAGTTTATTGTTTACAGTATGATGATCAGAAGATAGTAAGCGGCCTTCGAGACAACACAATCAAGGTGAGGTCTCTTCAGTTATGGGAAGGTAGCAGAAGGGGTGAGGATGACCACAGTATAAAGCAATCAAGCATAAACTCTAAGCAGTATTTCCAGAAAGTAAGAGTTTTAGATTGTTTCCAGTCCAAAAGCCAAAATTTCCTTAAAGGAAAAATGCCTGCTTCCCTCCAGAAACACATGCAAATGGATAGGGCTAGGGTTAAATTCCCTTCTTGAAGTGCACTGAATGGGCTATTACTCTTTTGGCCTTCACATAATTATAGGCTACCGCTGTTCCTTAATGAAAAGGATAAAGTCTGCATTAGTACTGAAGCCACATATATATAGGTGCTTAGCTATACGTATAGGAAAGAATGCATTCCACACTACTCCGGGCTTTGATTCTTTTGGGGAATCAAACACATAATAGAGCCAGCAAGTCTCTGCAGCACCCCATTATCACGATGATCAAAAGGATCTTGTTTGCCATCCTAGATCTGGGATAAAAGCACATTGGAATGCAAGCGAATTCTCACAGGCCACACAGGTTCTGTCCTGTGTCTCCAGTATGACGAGAGGGTGATCATAACTGGATCATCGGATTCCACAGTCAGGTAGAAAATTTCAAATGATCTTTTGAACTCTGAAATATCAGATTCACTCTGTTCTGTCTTAGATAGTAATTTTGTATGTATTTGCATGAACACCGTTATGAAACTTCATAACCAAAAAAGAATAAACCACCAGCTCTCCCCATCATTGTGTCAGTCTAAAACTAGAAAACTTGATTTAGGAATGGTTACGGTAAGTTTACATTTTTGTACATTTAAGAAACTACAGGGACTTCCCTTGTGCTCCAGTGGTTAAGACTTTGCAGTGCCAATCCAGGCGGCCCCGGTTCGATCCCTGGTCAGGGAACTAGATCCCACGTGCCGCAACTAAGACCCGGCGCGGCCTAAATAAATAAATAAATATTTAAAAATTAAAAAAAAATTTAATTACAAAAAAAAGAAACTACATATTCTATTTTGATTTGGGGGAATCATCTATTACAGAAACTTGGTAAACCTTGCATTTCTTACAAAAGCTACCTCATGGGGGAATGACATGAATGGAATGAAGCCTTCCTTTCAAGTGGTTATAACTGTAGTACAGGCATGCATATCTCCTTTAAAATGTGTACAGGTGAGCAAAGCTCTCTCTTTGTCAACTCCTCCCCTGCTGTCCCTGCAGTTTTTAATTGCAAGCTTCACTCAGGGAGGGACCTTCAATTTCCAGAGGCGTTAGTGATTTGATGACACAGCCATTATGCTGCTGGAGTCCAGTGTAGCTTGAGTTCTGGGTACTAGCAGCACTACTAGAAACCTCTGTTAAGAATTTTGCCTTGAGCTAAAGGATTTAGCAAACATAATGCATCAAAAGTAACTTTAAAAAAATAGGGAAAAAAGCAGTTAACTGCATTGTTAGCTTCTCTGAAGTTAAATGTTTACCATTCCAAGTTATCCTCTGTGAATAGAAAAGGCCATTCCTGTTTCTTGCCTTTTGACTTAAAGGCACAGCAAATTCTGTTCTTAGAGTTATCAACATTTAACATTTATTGGTGCTTGTGGAGTGCCTCAAGGAAGCTGAAAGATTGTAGAGGCTATAACATCATTTATAGGACAAGGGAAAAAATGATTTTCTAAAAGAGGGTTAAACTGAAAAAAGAAATAAAATGTGTTGTAAAACACAAAGTAAATATACAAAAATAGAGTGATCAAAGTAAAATATACCTTCACAAAAAATTCTCAAGCTATCCAAGGGTCTCACACTCTGCTGTGAAGCCCGTATTGATATTGGGATGGCTGTTCTTGATCCCTACACTCATTTAAAGCACAGAAATGGGGCCCTACATTTAGAGTCTAGATAATTTTAGGCCTTGATCTATGTGGTAAAAAGGTCCAGCATCATCAAACTCACATCCATAGTACTAAGTCAGTCTGTTAGGGAAGCTTCTTGGCCTATGTCAGTCTAGGACCTGAGGGCTGCCTGTGGGACCACCAATGCTGTAGTTATTAATCAGATTCCCAGTTTAAAATGTATCAGATTGAATGTTAGAAGGTTTATGATAATCTTGAAGTCTGTGGCCAATTCTCTGGTGATGGTCGCTGCAACCTCATTCCAGCCCCCTGAAACTAGCCCAGATTTCACATTGACAGCATCCCATCCCCTTCCTCTTCCTACTCTCCCAGTCCAGCCCTCTTTCTACCACTTCCCCATGGTCCATCAGTACACTTTAACTCAGCTCAACTTCAGAGCTGCAGAAGGAAAGTAGGGTGTAACACTAACTATGAGAATAGTGTGGGAAGGGTGGGGAGTGAGGTGGTCCAATACTTGTAATAGATTGTAGCATGAGCTCCTCCTCAATCTCGGATAACCTTAATGTTGTTTGTTCCAGGGTGTGGGATGTAAATACAGGTGAAATGCTAAACACATTGATTCACCATTGTGAAGCAGTTCTGCACTTGCGTTTCAATAATGGCATGATGGTGACCTGTTCCAAAGACCGTTCCATTGCAGTGTGGGATATGGCCTCCCCAACTGACATCACCCTCAGGAGGGTGCTTGTTGGACACCGAGCTGCAGTCAATGTCGTAGACTTTGATGACAAGTACATCGTTTCTGCATCTGGGGATAGGACTATAAAGGTAATAAGCCATTTTTCAGTAAGTCCCCAACTTAGAAAAGGGAAGTTCATGTGGAAATCTGCTCAAGGGCAGTTTCATACTTAACCCTCACTGTAGAATACTTAATATTTAAATCAAATACTAGTTTATGCGTAAAAAGGTAATGAGTGAGATAGGTTGTGTGACAATTTGAATTCGGTTTTTATTCCTATAAATAATGGTGAGTATGAAAAGGGCAGGGGTAAATTTAGGTTCAAGAAAATTTGTCTGCAAGACCAGACTAACCCCATGAGAGTACATCAATTTGAGGATTCTCATGTGATAGCAGCCAGCTACAAATTAGCCGTATATTACTATGAATTAAACTTGTCATTTTTTGGTTTGATTTGGATTGGTTTGAAAAGTTGAATTCCCCCTATTAGTTCAGTCCTATTTTCTGCTTCCCAAAAACTCCAGTTGCCATAGATTTTACTAGTAAAAGCACCAGATCAACTGCCAAATGCTATTTTCATTTCAGGTATGGAACACAAGTACTTGTGAATTTGTAAGGACCTTAAATGGACACAAACGCGGAATTGCCTGTTTGCAGTACAGAGACAGGCTGGTCGTGAGTGGCTCATCTGACAACACTATCAGGTGAGCAGCAGGTGCCCTTGCCCAGAAGGGATCACTATTATCCTGCCATTCACTGTTTGTGCACAGATCAAACAGATCTTCAACTGTGTTATGTTTATAATAAAACATTTTTCAGTTTCTGTAGCTTCTTACAGATCAAAAGTTTGCCCCAAGCAGAGAGGCAACATAGTAAAGCCTTTTGTTGATGTGTTTCCTTCCTGTAATAGTTTTATCACCATATAGACCTATTTAAAAAGTACTGCTTGAAAGAGGAAGTGAGCAAGAGAGATAAAAATGGAGGCTGAAGGCCCTTCTCTTTAAATTCCTCCTGTCTGCAGTTGAAAAGTGCTAATAAATAGCTAAAGGCCTTTTCTCTTTGCCACTGTTCTAAAAAAAGAAAAGAGATTTGTTTCCCTGCTAGAAATTGTGCATTTTGTTTTCTTAGCATTACATAATTAGCCAGGGAGTTACCAGTCTTTGAAATTATGAAGAAATTATGAAGAATCCACAAATTGAAGTACTTTTTGGTATTTATCCTTCATGAGGATGAATGACACTCATATGAATAGAATTTGGAAGATTTATCAACCCTCTCCCCATCCTTCAAAGAAGGACTAAGGAATGAAAAGGCCATTGAAAAAACAACAGATAGATATTATTATATCTAAGGAAATTATCATTCCTAGAAATCCTTTGGATTCGTCAGAAAGCATACATAATTTAAATTAGTATATAAAAGTTTTTGAGAACCTACTTTGCATTTCCATTATACGAGAAAAACTGTCCTGGACAGTGGGGTGACAGCAGAGAGTGTCCTCAGTGACAAAGGTGGACATACTTTGTGAGGGCAGGATGTCACTGATACTGCGTCTCATTCTTATTAATTGTGATTTTAGGAAACATTATTTTTCTTGGCTTGGTCATTTCCTTCATAGGCAACTATGTACATTGAATTCATCTTTTATATTCCTTGGTGACCCTGATTACAGAATTATATGAAGGTTGGTGCTTTGAAAATATATACTGCATATTTGAACTTAAATTGTACATTTTTCTGCTTATACGGCAGAAAAGAAATAGATTACACTGAAAGTAATACATTTGTGTATGAGTGTTGATTGATTTTATTTTTTGGATATTTTAAAAGATGTATGAAGTATGTTATTATAACATTCCAAGCTTAGAAAAGAATACCTGAAAATTCACTTGACTCAATTTTCTCTTTTAGATTATGGGACATAGAATGTGGTGCATGCTTACGAGTGTTAGAAGGCCATGAGGAATTGGTGCGCTGTATTCGATTTGATAACAAGAGGATAGTCAGTGGAGCCTATGATGGGTGAGTTTGCTAACAGCGTTTTTTAAAAATCTGCCTGTTAATCCCTCCTGCCTTACAATGTTAAATATAACCTTTCCTTGTCTCTAAAAGATTATAGATATCACAGAAAAAATCTGATACAGTATTTCTTGTGTCTAATCCATATATTCACCTCTCCTTTGTTTACTCTTTTCTAAAATATGCTTCCCAATCGTTTAATTGTACTTGTTTGCTCATGAATTTCATTAATATTTTGGCTTTTTGGTTATATATTTATCCGTTTTGCCGTATAAAGCAAAGAACTGGGTAAACCCACTATATCAGGATATGAATATAAAATAGTGACTTATTAATAAAGCTGAAATGTTGGAGGGCAATATCTTGAGGGTGGGGTGGTGCTTAGTATGGTACAGTCTTGAATTTTTATCCCTTTTAGTGATTCCTAAAAGTACAGCCCTCTTGTCCTCACTTCTAGCATTTCAGTCACAATGAGTTAAGTAATCTTTACTTTCCTTCAGTCTGATTTCGAATGGTCATAGAGTCCATTCATGTTGTGGATAGATCCCATGTCCAGCAATGCTAATAAGCACATAGTAAATTCTTACAAAAGTGTATTCACTTATGAAGTGCTCTCTATCATTTCTCCTCATCAAGGTGCCTGATTTGGGGAAGTAGAAAGCCACAGTTCAAATATTGGCAGCTTTTTATTTTATTTTATTTTATTTTTATATTTATTTATTTAGTTCCGCCGGGTCTTAGTTGCAGCACGTGGGATCTTTTTAGTTGTGGCATGTGGGATCTAGTTCCCTGACCAGGGATCGAACCCAGGCCCCCTGCCTTGGGAGTACAGAGTCTTAACCACTGGACCACCAAGAAGGTCCCTGGCAGCTTTTGTAAATATCAGAAACTAACTTACAACATTATCTTAGTTTATGAGCTGGCTATACTGATATATTAAGACAACTCAAGCAGCAGCAGAAGTGTTAAGAGACCCACTTCCTCTGCTTTGAGTCAGCCATCACTGTTCTACCCTTGGGAAATTGTTCAGGGTATGATGACATGTTCCAGATAAGTCCAAGGTTGTATTTTCTCATTGCCCTGGTTTTGATCTATACCCACTATTCTTGGGTTTTGTCTGTTATTAATACTTACCTTGAGGAGACATGACCTATACTTGATTTATAGAAGAGCTATACTTTTCTTATTTAAATCAAAATATGAGGATTTGCTTATATCAACTCCAGAGCTCTTAAATGGACCCCAGTCCTCTGATATATGTGACGTGAGAATTGACCAGAAAGAAGATGCCTCAGAGTTATAGGTTTCTAGGTCTAAGTGATCTCTTCTATCATTAGGAGTCCTAATGTATCGATATAAGAACTCCTTTTGGCCCAAAGTATGGTGTAACTTTACCATTCACTCTCTTCAGTTTGGTTAAAGCTAACCTGTTTCTCGTTTTTAGGTTAATCACATACATTTTCCACTTTTAAGAATGAATGCAAGGACTGAGTCTCCAAAACAAAAAAGTTTTTGTATATTCCTGTGAGCTGCACTTATAAACTATCTTTGCCGTACATATTTATTGCCGTGACTTTTTACTGTTCTCCCTGTGTTCCCTTAATTTTGCTTTTAACTAAGATTTTTGTCCCCTTTTTGATCTTTAGAAAAATTAAGGTGTGGGATCTTGTAGCTGCTTTGGACCCCCGTGCTCCTGCAGGAACTCTCTGTCTACGGACCCTTGTGGTAAGAGCCTTATTGTTTAGAGAGGTTTGGGGAGCAGGAAGGGAAAGAAATTAACATTGACATGCTGTGGAATACAGAGCTGGATTTGATAGTTAGAACTTCACAAAGCATACTACTAAGTGGAAAGGCAACCAATACATGACAATAAAATATGTTTATATAGCTGCCTTTCATCCAAAAGTGCTTTAGAGACTGTATATGGAGAAGAATGTGGCAGCTGTTCAACAGCTGCACAGCAACTCTACACAGTTTAGTACAGGAAGTGAATAAGAATTCTCTGTCTGCCAGAAACAGTAGGGGGTACTTAGGGAGAGAGAACATAATTACTCAATTGGAACCTGTCCAGAATCTGAGGACCTGTACACCTGTGCCTGCAAAAAGTGCCAGGGGAGTCTGTGTGAACCCCCTGGTCAGCCCCTGAGTTACGACGCTTCCTATCTAAGGCATGCCGCCTCCAGCAATTTAAATCTCGTCTCTTTTATACTAATATACCCCCTTGCCCAAACATCTTGATATTTGGGCAACGAAGTGACATAGAAGGAAGAATGTCACCTCAAAAGCACCAAGTTCTTTATCGTGGTGTTAGCCAAAGACCCAGATCAGAAAATGGCTTAAGGTTTGAAAGCTGCTTCCATTAGAAAAAGATTAGGTGGGGCACCGGGGAGGACAAATCTTTTGCACAATTCAGGGAAAAGATGAGAGCAAGCATTTGAAGCCCAGTGTTCTGAATCCTGACTCTCAACATTTAGGCAGCCTCTGCTTTGGAGAAGAGGGAGATGCATTTCTTTGTCTTCCTTGTTGGATTTAAAGCTCATTCTTACAGCACCAGACCTGCTTTACCTGCATGTTTCACACATGGTTTTTTAAAGTGTGTACTTTATTTAATTCTTTTGATTTTTGAAGTATAATTTACATACAGCAAAATGTGTCCCTTTTTTAGTGTACTTCTGTGAATTTTGCAATTGTGTAAACACCACAGTCAAGATATAGAACATTTCCATCACCCCAAAAATGATACCCCTTCATATTAATCCCCTCTCCTCAACCCCTAGCAACTGTCCCTATAGTTTTGCTATGAGTGTCATATAAATTAAATCATATTTATGTAGCTTTTTGCATTTGGCTTTTTTCACTTCTTTTGAGATTCATCCACATTGTTGCATGTGTTAATACTTTGTTCCTTTTTATTGCTGAGTGGTATTCCATTGTATGGTTGAACTAATTTCTTTATTCATTCACCAGTTTAAGGACATGTGGAATGTTTTCAGTCTTTGGTGATACTGAAAACATTCCCATACAGGCTTTTGTGTGTACATTTTTTTCTTTCATTTCTCTTGGGTAAATACCTAGGAGTATGATTTCTGAATATGTATTTAAATTTAAAAGAAACTACCAAGCTGTTTCCCAAAGTAGCATTTTGGGAGTTTGCAAATGCAAACCATTTTACATTTCCACTAAACAATGTGTGAATGTCCAATTTTTCCACATCCTTGACAGGACTTGGTGTTGTCAGTTTTTAAAAACATTACAGCCATTTGAGTAGGTGTGTAGTGGTTGTAGTTTTAATTTACATTTCTGTGATAGCTAATGGTATAGAACATCTTTTCATGTGCTTCTTTTGAAGTGTCTTCACATCTCATCATTTATTTATTGAGTTGTCTTACTAAGTTTTTAAAAACATTTATTGTGATATAATAGACATACAATAACATGAGCATATTTAAGTATACAACTTGATAAATTTTGACATATGTACAAAACAGTGAAAACATCACTTCAGCCAAATAACGAACATATCCTCATGCCCCCTATTACATAGTAATCCCTCCTTCCCATCCCACCCCACTTTTCCTTACTCCTATCCCCAGGCAGCCACTGATCTGCTTTCTGTCAGTATTGATTAGTTTACATTTTCTAGTGTTTTATAAATGTAATCATAACAGTATGTACTCTTTTTTGCCTGTTTCATTTCACAAAGCATAATTATTTTGAGATTCACCCATGTTGTTCATATAGAGCAATTTTCCTTTTTGAAAATTGCTGAGGAGTATCCCATTGTATGGTTATACCAAAATTTATTTATCCATTTGCCAATTGATGAAAATTTAGGTTATTTCCAGTTTGGGCCTATTACAAATAAAATTTCTATAAACATTTATGTACAAGTCTTTGTATGAACATATATTTTCATTTCTCTGGGATAAATCCTAGAAACAGAATGGCTAGATCACATGGTAAGTATATTATTAATATTTTTAGAAACTGCCAAACTGTTTTCCAAAGCAGTTGTACGGTTTAACATGGTAGTACAACTGTGCATGAGAGTTCCAGTTACTCCATCCTCACCAATACTTAGTACAGTCTTTTTTGAATCCTTCTAATAAGTGTGTCATTGTACTGCATTGTGATCTTAATTTTATATCCCTAATGTTAATAATGTTGAGCATCTTTTTTTTTTTTAAAGGGGGACTTTTAAAAAAAATTTATTTATGTTTAGCTGCATTGGGTTTTCATTGCTGCACATAGGCTTTCTCTGGTTGCAGCAAGTGGGGGCTGCTCTTCGTTGCCATGTGCAGGCTTCTCATTGAGGTGGCTTCTCCGTGGAGGGCACGGGCTCTAGGCGCGCGGGCTTCAGTAGTTGTGGCACACAGGCCCAGTAGTTGTGGCTCGCGGGCTCTAGAGCACAGGCTCAGTAGTTGCGGTACATGGGCTTAGTTGGTACACAGGCTTAATTGATCCACGCCATGTGGGATCTTTCCAGACCAGGGATTGAACCTGTGTCCCCTGCATTGGCAGGCAGATTCTTAACCACTGCGCCACCAGGGAAGCCCCAGTGTTGAGCATCTTTTCATAAGTTTATATGCCATCCATATATCTACTTTGTTGAAGTGTTTGAATGTTTTACCCATTTTAAAAATTGAGTGGCTTTCTGATTATTGAGTTTTAAGATTCTTTTGCATATTCAGCATACAAATCCTTTATTAGGTATGTGATTTGCAAATATTTTTTTTCCAGTCCATGGTTTGTTTTTTTATTCCCTTTAAAGTATCTTTTGAAAAGCAGAAATTAATTTTGATTAAGTCCAGTATGTCAATTTTTCTGTTTGGGATTATGTTATTAGCTATTATATCTTTAAAAAAAAATTTATTTGCCTAATCCAAAGTCACAAAGATTTTCCCCTCTATTTTCTTCGAGAAGTTTTATACTTTCAGGTTTTACATTTTAGTCAGTGATTCATTTTGAGTTAGTTTTTGCAGATGGTACAAGGTATGGATCAAAGTTCATATGGATATCCGATTGTTCCACCTCCATTTACTCAGAAGACTATCCTCTTTCGTCTTCGTCTTCTTTTTTTTTTTTTTTTTTTTTTTTTTTTTTTTTTTTTTTTTTTTTTTTTTTTTATACTTTTATGTTTTATTTATTGCTGTAGACAACTGCCTGACATAGAGAAGATACCATTAATGGCTTTGGAGATTTGTTTCCCCTTTTTCTTCTTAATAGCAGCTTTGTCAAAAACAAATTGACCATATATGTGTGGGTCTACTTACGGACCTACTCAGTTCCATTGCTCTTTTTGTCTGTCTTGATGCCAATATTATACTATCTTGGTTACTGCAGCTTTTTAATAACCCTTGAAGTCAAGTAGCGTTAAGTCATTCAACTGTGTTCTTTTTCAAAGAATTTTGGATTCTTTGAATTTTCATGTGAATTTTAGAATCTGTTTGCCAATTTCAACAACAAAAAGTCTGCTGAGGGCTTCCCTGGTGGCGCAGTGGTTGAGAGTCCGCCTGCCGATGCAGGGGACATGGGTTCATGCCCTGGTCTGGGAAGATCCCACGTGCCGCGGAGCGGCTGGGCCCGTGGGCCATGGGCGCTGAGCTTGCGCGTCCGGCGACGGGAGAGGCCACGACAGTGAGAGGCCCACATATCACACAAAAAAAAAAAAAGTCTGCTGAGATTTTCATTGGCATCATGTTGAATCTAGATCGATTTGGCAAGAACTGACTTCTTAACAATATTAAATTTTCTTCTAAATAAAGACCATTTATTTAGGTCTTTTAAAATTTCTCAGCAATGTTTTATAGCTTTCAATGTAAAGGTCTTATACATCTTTTGTCATATTTATCCTTAAGTATTTGTTATTTTTAATGCTATTATAAATGGTATTTAAAATTTTTGATTTCTGGATTGTTTACTGCAAGTATGTACAAATACACTTCTTTTCCAATCTGTGTACCTTCCATTTTTCTTTTTTTGTTTTATTGTACTGACCATCAGTACAGTGCTCAAAAGAATTGGTAAGAGTGGATGTCCTTATCTTTGGGAAAAGGCATTTGGTCTTTTACCATTTTATATATACTTTTATATAGATATATGTTAGCTATAGGTTTTTCATAGATACATTATCAGGAGATTAGGAGGTTCCTTTCAGTTCCCAGATTGCTGAGAGCTTTTATTAGGAATGGATGTTGGTTTTGGGGGGGTTTTTTTTGCGGTATGCGGGCCTCTCACTGTTGTGGCCTCTCGCGTTGCGGAGAACAGGCTCCGGACATGCAGGCTCAGCGGCCATGGCTCACGGGCCCAGCCGCTCCGCAGCATGTGGGATCTTCCCGGACCGGGGCACGGACCCGTGTCCCCTGCATCGGCTGGCAGACTCTCAACCACTGTGCCACCAGGGAAGCCCTGGATGTTGGTTTTTGTTAAATGCTTTTATCTGCATCCATTGAGGTGACCATATGGTTTTCACCTTTATTCTGTTAATTGCTGTATTACATTGATATTTGATATTAAACTTTGCATCACTACAGATCCCATGGACATTAAAAGGATTCTAATAAAGGAATACTGTGAACAACTCTGTGCCCCCAGAATTGATAACCCAGATGAAATGGACCAATCCCTTGAAAGATACAATCTTCTACAACTTAGGAAGAAATAGACATTCTGAACAGACCTATACCTATTAAAGAAATTTAATAAATAATTAATAACCTTCCAAAACAGAAAGCACCAAGCCCAGATGGGTTCACTGGTGAATTCTATTAAATGTTGAAGGAAGAAATTATACCAATTCTCTATAATTTCCTCCAGAAGGTAGAAGCAGAGTGAATACTTGCTACCTAATTCTGTGAGGCCGGCATTACCCTAATACTGAAACCAAACAAAGATATAACAAGAAAAGAAAACTACAGACCAGTATGTCTTATGAACACAGATGCTCATCTATCTAATGAGCTAATTTACATCTTGTAAAGAATATAAAATAGTGCAGCCTCTATGGAAAACAGTATGGTGGCTCCTCAGAATATTAATGATAGAATTACTGTGTGATCCAGCACTCCCACTTCTGGGTATATATCCAAAAAAATTAAAAGCAGGATCTCAAAGAGATCTTTGCATACTCATGTTCATAGCAGTATTATTCATAATAGCCAAGAGGTTGCAACAACCCAAGTATCCATTGATAGATGAATGTATACACAAAATGTGGTGTGTTGGTGTGAATATATATATATACACACACACACACACAGAGAGAGAGAGAGAGAGAGAGAGAATGGAATAGAATAGAATATTATTCAGCCTTAGAAAGGAAATACTGTCACATGCTACAACATGGATGAAACTTGAGGACATTATTCTAAGTGAAACAGGCTTATACCTGCTTATGAGAGCCAATTGTTAGACGTTCATGAATTTTGCAAGCTGGTTGAACTCAGATGGGTAGCTTGAAATTAGCCAGGATAGAAATTTTTAGACCATAAAATCTGCAAATGCTTTTACAAATTGGGGAGAGTTAATTGATAACTATATACCAGCACACTAGTTATTAGTGCTCATCGGTCCTTGGCCTCTGATTGTAAAAGAATCCTAGAAATACAGAGAAGAGGATAAACCCAGGGAGGTACTGAGGAATGTTCTCATTTAGCCTAAGTCTAGGAGAGTTAGTAATGAGAAACTAGTGTACTATTTGACATGTATCAGCTCTAGTAAATATTACTTTGATTGTATACGAAATCAACTACCCAATATTTGACTTTTGCATCCTGCCTTTAATCCAAGTTAAGGTTTTTCTCTGTATTCTTGAAACAGCTAAATGGTAGAGAAAACTATCAGCATAGCCTTTCCATAGATTCCTTTTGACAAGTTGCTGAATTTGTGTCCTTTTGATTTTGAGTAGTTCAAAAGTTTTGTTTCTGCTTCTTTAGGAGCATTCTGGAAGAGTTTTCCGACTCCAGTTTGATGAATTCCAGATTGTCAGTAGTTCACATGATGACACAATCCTCATCTGGGACTTCCTAAATGATCCAGCTGCCCAAGCTGAACCCCCCCGCTCCCCTTCTCGAACATACACCTATATCTCCAGATAAATAATCATACACTGACCTCAGACTTGCCCAGGTATGAAAAAGAATTATGTACATAGCACTGTGGGTAGGAAATGGAACATTGGCTGTAAGGTATTGTGAGTTCATGGAGCCTTCTCATGCCCTTTATATCTCCAAGTCCTGTAAAGCAGAAGCTGACACCATGAGACAGGGCTGGGGGCTGCACACTGGACACTGCCTTTGGTTGAGGTAGCCAGCCTCAGTTCTTAGATGATTCTTGAACTAGATCTAGATGATCCTTGTGTAGTAGAACTAATATTCCTGCCTCAGTAATCTAGTAGGATTTTTAAGAAAATAAAATGAGATTTGAATCAGTTTCAAAACTAAGAGTATTGACCCCAAAGCCTATGGCTTTGTAATTCCCAGATTAAACTAGCACCTATAATGGAGACCCTTTAACCCAAGTAGATGATCTAATGTGTGAAAGGAAAAATCTCTTGGTGAAATATCGGGCTGCCTTCTCACAGCTCTGCCTTGTCAGTATCATTTGATTGTAAAAGGTAGCTTTTCTTTTATCCTTACCCGCATTCCCTACTGCCTCCAAAAAAGAAAAGAACTATTTTTGGACCTTGGAAGAAGCTCTGGAGTTGGTGAGAACTCCATGTAATCTCCCACTCAAATCTCCGTCCTGTCTCTGGGGCCGGAAAAGATCCTAACATTCATCTTAAGCTATAGCCGTGGTATATTTAGGTCATACTTGGTACCCTAACCAGTTCAAATATAGGTAGTCACTGGTTTGGGAAAACTGTACTAGCTACTGGGGAGGATTGCCATTATTGTGATTTCTTGTTTCCCATACTTGCCTCCATTCTTGTGCCAGAAGTACACATGTAGTACACTTTTCTGCACATCTTTCTATAGTGGTTCTTCTGACCAGGGTGTTTCATGCCCTGCTAGGCTCGCTTCAGTGCTCACTTCTCTCACAGAGGACGCACTGCTTCCTCAACCAAGGCACACAGACAGGCCTAGGTGAGAATCCTAGCTGCATGCCCTTGGGCAAATAACTTCCCAGAGCCTTAGTTTCCTTATTAGTAAAATGAGGGTTGCAATACCTACCACACAGAGCTGTTGTGAGGATCCCCTTGAAATGTTATATGTAAAATTCATAGTGCTTAGCACAGTGTCTAGCACATAACAGGCCCTCACTAAAAAGTAGCCATTAATTAGTATTAATATTGTAGTCGTCATGTACCTATCCCCTCCTCTTGCCAAAATTTTCTCCTCCTTAGATATTTAATCTAATATTTAATATTCTTCCTGGCTCTCTGATTATTTAATATTCTTCCTGGCTCTCTGATTATTTATGTCTCCTTCTTTCTCTCACCCCTAAAACATAGACATCCACTAAGAGTCTGTCTCGGGCTTTTCTTCCTTATCTGAGTTCCCTGCTTTGGCTGCCTTATCTCTTCCCGAGGCTTCAGCTCTCATCTCTAATTTGTATCTGTAGTCCCAACCTCTGCCTAATCTCCAGGCCACATTTTCAGACGCCACCTACACACCTGTCCTTGAAGGTACTAGGAGCACTTCTAGAGCACACAGCTAACAATCAGGCTCTCCCCTCATCTACACTGCCAGTCCCCTCCAGCCAAGCAACCAGATAGCCTCACCTCACTCCCCCACTTTTGTTAGTGGCACATTGCGTTCATGGCTACTAAGGGCTGGAGCCTCAGAGCTGTCCTCGCCCACTCTACCATTATGGGGAGCAGCTGAAAGCTTGATGCTACACCCACCATAGTCATTCTTAATCTCTAGATATCAGAGTCACTCTGCATGAGCACTACAGCCCTGACCATGTCAGTGAGCCCTGCCGAGTCCCCAGACAGGCCATGTAGCCTTTGACAGAAGCTCCTGCGTGGCATGGACCGAAAGCGGGCATTAGGAAGGACCTCTGAGCCTTTCCCCCAATTGACAGCTAGTTTAATATTCTTTTCCTTTTAGAGAAAGTGAGAAATATAGGAAAAGGGATTAATGACTATGTGCTCTGTTTTTGCACAGGACTCATTAAAGTTGCGGTATTTAACGTATCTGCCAATACCAGGATGAGCGACAACAGTAACAATCAAACTACCACCCACTTTCCCCGGACTAGCTGAGGAGCAGGGCTTTAAGACTCCTGTTGGGACACAGCTGGTCTGCAGTCGACCCAGGATGGTTTACTCAGCACAGCTGACTGCTTCCGTGCTGCTATCAGAAGATGTCTTCTATCTTTTGTGAATGATTGGAACTTTTAAACCCCACCTCCCTTCCTTCTTTCCTCCTGCACCTGTTTTTTCCTCATTTGGTTCCAGACAGAGACGACATAAATATATTTAGTGTTTTGCCAGAATCTCTCTTGCTTTGCCGTTAAGCAGAAGAACTAGTTTCCTATGGAGCCTGCTGGGAGAGAGCCGCTTCTAGGGGACGGGGGTACAACTTCAAGCCAGACGGCACCCAGTGTAAACTGCAAGAATACCCAGCACCTGGCAAGATCTGCCCAGCCCCACTGTGCTTAGGAGGAAACAGCTGTCTGGGTAGCCTCTGGGGCAAGAAAGAAAGAAAACAAGAATGTACACCCTGGAAGATCTGGGCCTCTTTCCTTCCATCTCTTTCTCTGTTTCTGTCCCTCTTGCCCCTTCTCCCACTCCCCTTCAACATGTTTATCTGCTCCACCTGAGAAGAAAGAGTATGAAGAAAGTATCCTCAGTTATCATGAGGCAAATGAGAAAATGCAATACTTAGAAGAGTTAAGTACTCTTCAGTCAAAATTTCAAACCCAGGCTTTTGCTGCAAGTGACCCTCTGTGGCGACGATGGATTCTCAGACATGGTACTCTCATCGTATTTGCACCTCTTCTCTCTTCTCCTTGTAACACCCACCCACGCCCCCAAAACAAAAGGGGGGGAGGGCCAGAAATTTCCTGGGCTCCTTCAATGGCCACATCTTTTCTGGACTCAGCAGTCTCCTCGATTCCATGTAGTGTGGAAAGGAGTTGCTGATTGCATTTCCTGTCATTAACAATTAGATGTGTTGTAAAAAGCGTTGTACTTCATCTTAAATCACTGCTAAGGCTCAGCCTACAGAAGGGGTTGAAATGGCCAGAGCCATTCTGCATAATGGTTCGCATCTCTGATTTCCTCATCAGGGCCTACAAGTACCCAGGCGCGCCTGTATCTTTGCCGAGACCATGATCAGACTAGCTTACCAGGTGGTCAAGACTAAAAGGTGATGTCTTTTTCATTTAAGCCAGTAAATATTGTCTCTCAAAAATCAAGCTAATCATCTCAACCTTGCTCTGCAGAACCTTCCTTCTGCTTTTCCAAACCTGGTATTTATAAAAGGCAAAACTGCCAGAGAGAGAATCAGGGTGAAGTTTGGCACACAGGGTTTATTAATGGCACAGAAACTGCCTTCTCTTTCCTTTTCTTCCTTCTCTTGGCCTTATTTTACTCTCCACTCTCCCTAATAAAATTCCTCTGGCAGTTGGTGAGCAACATAAATAAATGGACTTCAGCAAGGGCCAAGGCTTACTGTGGCCACTTCAAAATCAGCTATAGAGGCTTCAGGTGCAGGGCACGTGTGCCCCCCAAGCTGGGGGCACAGGGAGTACTATCAGTATGTTCCCGGCTTGTTTCCCTGGGCAGGAATGGGCCTTCACCAGCCATATTGTGTGGCACAGACACACCCATCAATGGGCACAGGGCAGTCTCCAAGTCTTCCCTTGGAAGCTGAGCAGACAGGCCCATTGTTTCCGTTATATCAAAGCAGTTGAGTAAAAGAAAGGCCCCTTTTAACCAGCTGCTGTAAAAACTTCAGAATGGGATCCTGTTGCAGGCGACCTCAAAGCCAGGCCACCTTTAGTTGGGGGCGGGGCGGGGGGGGGGGC